CTCTTTCTCTCTCTCCCTCTCTCTCTCGAGACAGGGTCTCACTACAAGTTAGAACAAGGCTGGCCTTGACCTCACTATTGTAGGCCCCCAGGCTTATCTTGAACTCGGAGCAATCTTCCTGTCTTAACCTCCTGAATGCTAGGATTATAAGTGTGTGCCACCATGTACTCAGATTGAGGGGCCACCACAGCATGTGGGGCCTGGATTGAACTCGGGACCTTGTGTTTGCCAGATACAGGCTTATGCCTTGGAGCTATCTCCCCAGCCCCAGTGAATACCATTTTTGAAATTTATTCTTTCTGGCTCAGCAGCTTGTTTGCAATCCATCACAGAGATTTTCTTTAAGATCATATTTAAAACTGGACATGGTAGTTTCAAGGTAGCTGTCACCTCTAAACTTTTGGAAAGGAACTAAAAGTTCCACAAAGTGCTGTGAAGTCACTACAAATTTTCATCCCTAGAAATCATATTTGTTGGAAGCTCCTGTTTGGCATTTTGCATGAGTCTAGGAGGACCACAGCCATGTGCCCACCCAACTTAGTGTGCTCACCCAGGCTCCTGACCGCTGCTCCCAGCAGTCTGGAAGCTGAGCTCTGCTTCTCGTGTAAGCCGCGGTGACGACAGTCAGAAGGCATCGGGACCCCGAAAGCAATACGCCACACAGACCCGCCTCGCTTGATGGCGAGTCACGCCCCTTGGGGACCACAGCTGTTGTCCTGCCTGTGCCTGTGAGGGAGGAGAAGCCCATCTGTATGGCTGTAGCTCTGTGGCAGCCAGGCTTCCGGCTCCCTCGCGCGCTCACTTTTGAGACACGTGTGAAATACAGTATCATTCTCTTTTACTCCATCAGTTTTTGGTCAGTGGAGATGTAAAATGCACAGCACCATTTCTTGGACCTCTGAAGGGTAGTGTGAGGGACAGAAAGCCAGAACCTGAGTTGCTCTGTCGTTTAGTACATTAACATGGGGATAAAGAGACACACGAATTATGGACTTGTGATGATTAAAAATATTTTAAATTATCATAGGGATGACAAACAGTTTTTCACTATTGAATGACTCATCATTAGGAGGGCCGCTTATAATTATCAGTTGTTTAATGGAGCAAAAATGAAATTTTCTTTCTTTCAGTTACATGTGGTCGTTCGAGAAAGCTCACCTCAGCATGGTTCAGGTCATCACGGGCCACCTGGTCGAGTGCTTCGACGAGGAGTTCCGAACCCTCTACGCCAGGTCCTGCGTCCCCAGCGAGCTGGCGCAGGGAGAACTGGCGCGGGCGAAGCAGGGCCCGGCGCTCTGGGAGAACGGCGGGTATCGGGGCTCGTTATCTTCCTTAGCTTCCATTTCCAGCCAGAGAAACCTTTTTGGACGACAGGACAACACTCACGCCCTGGACTCCACTCACTTCAGAGGCCGCGGGATGTACCCCCCCAACGAGCACGACAAGTTGGGCGTCCGCACTCACGGGTACAAACCTTTTGTGCCCAACTTTAACGGGCCCAGCGCAGCGCGCCAGCTGCAGCTCGGTCAGAAGAACGGGAGCTGGAAGAGGCACAGCTACGCCGGGGAGCAGCCCGAGAGCACGCCCTACCTGCTGCTCAGCCGCGCCCTGCCCCGCGCCGGCGCGCCCGCGGCCGAC